TTATAGAGATTGTAACACTCGCATTTGAAATAATAAAATCGATTGTTGCTATAATTTTCCGTTCTTGATTATTGTTTTCTCGACGCGAATTTTATTGTCTACAAACATGGCCGAGCTCTTTTCCTCTTAAGCTCTTTTATTTTGTGAATATGTTTCAGATGTTCGAAGCCTATCTTTGATCTTAATTTCATTTTATCTATTCTACATCCGCAAGTACTTATTTGAATACCCCTCCTTCCATACTTTTGCTTTCACTTTGATTTGCAACAATTGTGATACTGCCATCTTTTTTCCACTTAAAACAGAAAAAAAAAAACTCACACTTTGGGAAGAGTATGTTCTGTATTAATGGAAACAGCCTCATAGAAACACTCGATGACTATCCAGTCATTTTAGCTAAAAGGATAGTTAAATCTACAACAGGTAAAAAAACAGTAATACTCTTCTCAACATATATACTCCTAAATATAAGTAATTACCCAATTAACTTCTTCTTATCTACACAGGCTTGTCAAATAGATACAATACATTGACGGTCAACTCACACTAGCAAATCAGGACCAACTTTTCCGCACCATGGCCTGCCTGGGTTGCAACATTACATTCCCAAGAAGTACTTCCTCGAGACCATTCTGCTGCATACATTGCGATAGATCTTCTATGCTCATCCCAAGGTATAATCAACATTTACACTTTTAAGCTATTATCATCTGCACCTACTCTTTTACGGTATTCTCAAAATAATAACCATCACCCTCCCCTTCTACACATAGAGTGCAATTTGACATCACAGTTACCGACAATACTGGTTCGGCAACGGCTTGCATTTCTGATAAAATCGCTGAAAAAATGTTATCTCTCAACAGAAGAGATTTACAAAATTTGTCAGGCGAAGATATTTCTCAAATTGCACTTAAATCTGATAAACCAATCATATAATTAATCACTCACTTTTTCCTTACAGAACCACCTGTTGAATCCATCCCATTTTTTAGTCAACTTTAGCTATTCAATTGGTACAAACAATTGTTAAAAAGGAATATTAATTAGAGTTGAAAAGAAAAGATTTGGTAGTTGGCAAATTGATAAGATTTGCAACCATTCTTGACTTTGCTATATTTACATATGTCATTAGTGACATAGGCATGGTTTTATCCTTTTATAAATAGAGCATTTTTGCTCATTTGTAAAACACACCAAGTTAGAGAGAAAAACCATTTTGAGAGCAACGTGAGGTATTCCATAGACTACATAAGAAAATAGTCTGTGAAGAAAAATAGAGTGTAAGCGATATTTTAATAAGATGGAAACCAAAAGAGTGTTGTTCCTTTTGAGTATGTAGTAGTCACTTTGAGTATTATATTCGTGACTACACAGTGTAAAATTCCTTACTATAGTAATATCAATTGCTCCTCTTGGCCCGTGGATTTTTCCCTTATTCAGAACGGTTTCCACGTAAAATTTTTGGTGTCGTTATTTTCTCATTTTATTTTTATTACTTTTACCATATATATTTTTGCGCTCGTCCGCGTTTTCCCAACACCACCAACAGCTTCACCAACAGTTGTGCAACAACCTAGGAGAACTGACATACAGAATTCAAATGAAAAAACTGTTCTCCAGAAATCGCGAAACATCAGCTGCAAAATTGACTGTTCTCAATTATGAAGAAAAATGCAACCCCACTCAATCAGCACCAACGGTCATAGCCGAAGCAACAAAGCGCAAACCGATGGAAACGAGCACCAAACCGTCCAGCAGTAAACAGAAGACCGCCATCGCAGCCCCTTCAAAAAGGGACTTAAAGATAAAGCTCTCTTCCTCAACTTGCCACTCTTCACCTTCTCTTCTTCTTCTTCCTTCTACTAAAACAACTACTCTCACACATGCTTTTGCAGGAAGTTTTTGCATCAAAGTGAACTTAAGCTTTTATCAATGCACTGCTTTCACATGAAGTTTTGGTCAATGCACTGCCAAAAAAGCAACAAACTACTTCCAACACAAAGGTAATCTACTATGTCACTATCTAAATGTGCTTTATACTTTCTTGTCACTTCTTATACAATCTGCTTTCAACATTTTTCACCCCACCTATTCATACAGTACATATTTACATTATTTTTTTTAGTATTCATTTGCACTTATTTGAAGCTTTCCAGCTCCATTCTTATTAAAACCTCCACAATCGAAACCCCTCTTCTTCGCAATTGCAGATATTTTGTGAACTACGACGCATCAACATCACTTGCTAAGTATGACACACAGCTGAATCGTGCACAGGGTTCCCTTTTTCTTCGCAAATATGTAAATAACTATGAAACATGGCCGAATCGTGCACAGGAAGTGCAATAACAAGTATGATAATGCTTATATATGTATTGCCAATCCATGATATAAACTACCTTCAGCAACAGTCCCCTGTACAGCCCGTGCTCGCACGGGCATCACCATCTAGTATATATATATAAGAAGAGTAAATAGCACACTACTTTCCATCAACACGTGTGCTTAATTGAAATTACGTAAAATTTTGAAGGGTACTTTTGTCCTTCTCTCTTTGTCTTCACACGTGGTTCCTTATCTTCTCTCCATCAATAGTAACGTCACCGCCAAACTTTACCATCTAGCTCTTCGTCTCCAAACGTTTATGCTCGCTTCATACTTTCTTCTTCTCGAAGTTACTTCGGTGGAGCTTATAACTACCCATTACCTCAGGCAAGCATACTCTACAATGATTTTATTTTGCAATCCTTTTTAATGTGTTTGTATCCCACAATTTTTTTGGGTTTTTTCACCCCTTCCGCTTCAGAGATTTGAATTGTTAAGGGCCTCTAGGATTAGTTGAGCTTTCCAGTTGAAGTACTGAACATCACACGCCGCCTCAAGCCGTTAATTGTACTTTCGCCGCCAAACTTTACCTTATTGATTAGGTGCTCCGCTGAAGTTTGCAGCTATCTATTACCTTACGTAAGCATATTCCACAATGTTTTTCCATTATTTTGGTTCCTTAGCTATACTTCAGCGATTTCGTTTTCTCATCCTTTTTTGATTTGTTTATATTCACGGGTTTTGTGGGTTTTTTCACTCTTCCTGTTTCAGTCGCTATTTGTTGTTGTTTGTATCACTGCCCTTTGCCTCATCTTAGCGAGCGTGGTATGCAAGATTTTAACTGCTATATTTGCCATGATCAACTGATTTTCTCAGAGTAGTTCTCCCTCTGAAAAATTCTGTTTAAGACTGAATTCATAATGTTCAGTTCTTTCTCATCCCTTCGACCATGATTTGAGCCATAATTGTAAAGTGATTTTTGCTTGTCTGTATAGGTAGTACCAGAGTTCTATTCACATTCACAAAAATGGATAAGTAAAGAAGGAACTTCAACTCGCTGAAAACTGTATTTATGCTTACCAGTTCCCCTAAGATAAAGTGATTTTATGTAGCATTCTCACTCACATTTCAAAAGAAGAAAAAAGTGTTCCTTTGCCTCCTCTATTCTAACCCTCCTGCCATTATACATGGTGAAAAGTTTGAGTGCTGTCACACTTTCACCTAAACCACCAATATAGATTCTTATGGTTTCGGTGATGCATTGCCTCCTTCGTCCGTCGCCATCTCTTCCGGTGCTGTTATGTTCAACTCAATGAAGCTCTTTGGTTGAAGTTATGCTGCCAGCGAATTGATGTCCACTAATCGGGGTAGCAATTGGGTGTGAAATAGAAATGTTATGAGATTTCTTCAAGAATCTGAAATTTTATATACTTCAATATATTGTCGATTCAAATTCATTGTCTGCCTTTTAGTATTTTAAATGCAGATAATTTCCTACAAAAAGCTTGCGGAGAAATGTCTCCAACAAACCAAATAAACTATCTACATACAGAAGAACAAATTTATCAAATGAAACTCAAAAGGCGTGATGCTTATATAAAGATAAAAGCTGATAAAAAAAACAGGCGATATTAGCAGAGAGGCGCACCAGAGAATTACGAAAAAGGTAAATCACGTGTTCTCCGTCCAACTGAAGAAACAAAGCGTTATTGCGCCCCTATATTATCAAGGCAAACTGGTCTTACTATAAAAGAGCCCTCTTCTATTAATATCAAGGTTGGAATGAAAAATTTCTGCTTGTTCACTTTTACTAATATCAAATTACAAAGATCCAATTATGTGCTAACCTAATCGATAATGTTTTTTATATACCGTCCAGAAAAAGGATGCTATGAAATTAGTTCTTCTAACAAAAGAGAACAAGTCCTCCCATCTTTCTATGTATTTGAAAAAGGTAAATATATAATTTCTATCTTTTAGCTTTTTAGTTGCATCATGTGTTAGATATGCATCTAAATTTTTCCGATTTATATGTTATGCTCAATATCCGGCACATGTAGGGAACAACAAAATGTCACTCCTGAGGTCATTTCTATCTCAAACTCAACATCCAACGCATGTACAGAACAACAAAATGTCTCTTCTAAAAAGTCGCTACAGAGAAAGGTTGGTATTCATTTTATATGGAAGTAATTTCTCCTATTACTTTATTAGAATGTCAGATTATACTCAGTTTTGACAGTACTTGTGACATACAGGTAATAGGCTAAAAGCAGACTCCCATAAAAAATTAATGATAATCGATCTGCTTATACATGCTTAAAAGATGTTCCCAACTGTAAGTTTTGTCAGGCAAAAAGATTTCAGTATGAATCGCCTGACTTTTGTTGTGGTAATGACTCAATTAAATTAGTTTCATACCAACTACCTGATGACTTATCTGATCTGTATATGGAAAAAACTGAAGAATCTATGCACTTCCGAACTTACATTAGAACATATAATAATATGTTTGCCTTCACATCACTTGGCGTAACTTATTACAAAGTTTTAGCTAAGAGATATCATGGTATATACAAATTTGGCGTGCAAGGACAAATGTATCATTTTATACCTGATTTACTCTCCTCCGATGACAAACCAAAGAACCTCCAACTATATGTTTATGATAATGAAAGTGAACTAGCAAAAAGAATGGCCTATTCAACACATATGAGTGAATCAATTGTCAGGAAACTTATGAACATGCTGTCAAAAAATCCATATTCTATCTTTATAAAATCCTTGATGAACATCCCAACAATATCTGATTTTTGTATTGCACTTAAATGTGATTTAGGTTTAGATCAACGTGTTTATAATTTACCGTCTGCATCTGAGGTTGCTAGAATATTGGGTTGAACATGATTCACCTGAAATTGTTTCTGTGCCGGCACATATTCGTATATACACGCATAGTAATAGTAGTAAATTATTATTATGGTTGTTATGATCATTTACAGTATCCGTTATTATTTTCATATGGTCAAAATGGATGGCATTGTGGTATAAAAAAAATTTCCCGGCGGAATCAATCTTACTGTGAACACGAAGAATTACCAAGTGTAAATAATATATGCTCTATTTGATGAAGTTCTTCATATGGGGGTCGAAGTCTTTAATAAAAAAAAATGAAAAAGAGATATGGTTTCTTGCCGTGAATATTACTGTTACAAAATTCAGATAAGAGAAGATGATAAAAATGGAGTATTACATTGTGGTAGATTATTTCAACAATTTATATTAGATGTTTTCATTAAACTTGAAACACAAAGATTGGATTTTTTTCACTTAAACCAGACTTATTTAGAATAGATGTGTTAAAAAGGAATTATAGATTTTTTGAGAGTTGGTGAAACAGAGGCTTCCACAATTGGGAAAAAACATTCCTTCCTGTTACTTTCATAGGCGGACCAAGAGATATGCATCGTAGGCATATGGATGCTTTCGACTTGGTATAACATTTTGCAAAACCTGATCTTTTTGTGACTATGACATGTAATCCATCTTGGCCAGAAATAAAACATCATATGTTATCGACTGATGAAGCTCAAAATAGACCTGATTTGGTGTCCCGTGTATTCCGAGCTAAAATAGAAGAACTAAAAGTGGATATTTTGAAAAGATACATATTTGGAAAAGTTGCTGCTTTTATGTACGCTATAGAACTCATTTCCTTATTATTCTTACTAATGAATACAAATTGTTGACACCTGAATCATATGATAAATTTTTTTCTGCTGAATTACCCGATTCTAATGAGCAATATCTTTATTCACGTGTCCCCAACATATGGTGCAGGGTCTATGTGGTGATATAAACCCTACAAATTCATGTATGGGAAAAAAGGGCTTTTGTAAATTTCAATATCCAAAAGACTATTGAACAAACATCAAATGGAAAGAATTCATATCCACTTTATAAGAGGCGTAATACTGGGAAAACTGTATACATGAGAAAACATCATATGGACAATTCGTGGGTTGTCCCATATAACCCAATACTTACTTTGTAAATTTGATTGTCATATAAATGTTGAAGTTTGTTCTGATATTAAAGTTGTGAAATATATTTGCAAATATTTTTGCAAAGGCCATGATAAAATTGCATATTCTATACATGACAATGTAGAAATAGACGAAATAAAAGAATATCGGTATGCAAGATAGGTTTCCCCACCCAAAGCAGCATGGCGTTTAATTGGTTTTCCTATTAGTGAAATGACTTCAAGTGTGTATCATCTTCAATTTCATTTAGAAGGACAACAATTTGTCTCGTTTAGAAGTACTGAAAGCGTTAATATAATCTTAAATAATCCACTAATAAAAAGAACCATGTTGACCGAATTTTTCTCTATGAATAGAACAAATGAGCATGCTATGAATATGAAATTATTATACAAGGAATTCTCGCAGCACTTTGTTTGGTGTCCAAGAGACAAAATGTGGACACGTAGAAAAGAACGTGATGTAATTGGACGTGTTGCCACATGTCATGTGACTGAAGGGGAAAGATATTACCTCAGGCTGTTGTTAATGAACGTAAGAGGACCAAAATCATATAGAGATCTTCTCACTGTTAATGGAGTACCTTGTAGCACATTTCGTGAATCTGCAGAAAAAAGAGGACTACTCTATTGCAACAGTAGTCTAATTGAATGTATGTTAGAGGCTGTGAATTATCAGATGCCATATAGTTTAAGGTGTTTATTCGCTACATATTATGGGAAATGTTTGAGGATTCACTATCAGAAGACTTCAAAAAGCTTCTCCAATACTGAACCAAAATGTATTCAATACAAAGTTTTAAATCACATCAATCATATCTTACATTCCATGAGACACGACACAAATGAGTGCGGACTTATCTTAGAGAATATTAAATCTTCTGAAACTACTAAGGACACAAAAGACATCCATTTTGAGAAAAACATAATTGTCAGTGAAGACGACTTGCTCTTGCCAAAAAGATAAAATGTCAAACAACTTATTTCATATAATACAATTATTGATAGAATTTCTTGCAAGAATCCAGGAGCTCTTTTTATTGATGGTCCCGGAGGAACAGGTAAAACTTTCTTATACCGTGCTTTATTAGCAACTGTTCGATCTCACGGACAAATAGCTTTAGCAACTGCAACTTCAGGAGTAGCAACTTCTGTTCTTCCTGGAGGACGGACTGTTCATTCACATTTTAAAATGCCTATTGACATAGATGATAATTTTTGTTGTAATATAAGTAAACAGAGTCCACTTGCTTGCTTGTTTCAAGAAGCAAAATTAATTGTATGGGATGAAGCATCCATGGCCAAAAAACATGATTGAAGCTCTTGATGTACTTTAAGAGATATTATGGATGTGAAGACACTTTTTGGTGGTAAAGTTATTGTATTTGGAGGTGACTTTCGACAGACTCTTTCAGTAGTGCGAAACGGCAAAAACTAAGATTTTATTCATCAAAGCTTATTATATTCCAATATTTGAAATGATCTTAAGAAATTGAATCTATCTGAAAATATCGTGCAAGAACAGATCCATTCTTTTGTGAATATCTACTTAGAATTGGAAATGGAAATGAAACACCTAATTGTGAAAACAAAATTGAGATTCCTGATTCTCTTATTATACCTTTTACAACTGAAGAACATTCGTTAGATGCTTTATTTAACATAACATATCCTAATTTATATGTGTTTTCTTCTGAATCAACTGCAATATCTTCTCATGTTATTCTAACAACAAAAAATTACTTTGTAGATGAAATAAATGATATGTTAATTGTAAAATTTCCAGAAAGAGCTAGAACATATGTCGCAACGGACGAAACTGTTGAACCAAATGATCAAAGCCAATTTGAAGATTTCCTACATACTCTACACACTCCTGGATTACCTCCTTATAGGTTAACATTAAAGGAGAACTTTCCAGTTATATTATTACGAAATTTGAATCCTTCAGAAGGTTTATGTAATGGCACAAGGTTAACATGTTGAAGCTTTAAAACACATATCATAAGTGCTAAAATTGAAAGTGGCGACTTCAAAAATACACATGTATTTATTCCAAGAATTCCATTACTAACATCTCAAGATGAGAAAATCCCAGTACAATTTAAAAGAACAAAGTTTCCTCTGCGATTGTGTTATGCTATGACTATAAATAAAGCTCAAGGTCAAACATTAGATTTTGTTGGAATTTACTTACGAGAACTTGTTTTTTCACATAGTCCACTATATGTGGCTTTATCAAGAGCAAAAAGTTCAAAGTGTTTAAAAATATTAATCCGTCCACCTACAGCAGACAGTACTGATGATCATTCAACATATAATATAGTCTATGATGAAATTATTCACAGAGCTTTCCCATTAATGAGGTAACAATCGACTCTAATTCTGTCAATTTCATCAAACTTCTCGCTGTAATTTTTAGTTGCCTGCATATACTTCTGAAAATATTTGTTATACAAATTCATACTTTGTTTCTTGTTATGAAATACTACTGATTGACTTGAGTAGCTGAACGAGTAAGGTTTACCAAGATGTCTGCTATGACCCTCAGCCACCTGATTTGCTGCTCAGAATTGAAGAATCGTAAGTCGGACTACCTCTGCTAACTTCAACATATCTCTAATGAATCATTTTAATTTACACATTCATTTTGCATGCATACTGTATGTTTTTCCTTTTTCCTTCCGCTTTTCCTTTACCAAAATACTTTGGTTGATATAGTGGCGTATCCATGTTGTTTCACAGGTTATTTCACCGACATAACAAACTCCATGAATGACCTCTAACCACTCAGCAGCAACAGTGAACTTGACTACGCAATGATCTGAGAAAAATCAAATGAGGCACAAAAAAAAAAACTCTTTCTGATTATTCTGTATTTATTTTGATTCTAAGAGTCATAATCAATCTGCTCTATAGTGCAGACATTGATAGTTCAGCAAACTCAAATCCTCAACAAACATTGCTCCCAAAAGCGTCCCAGTGAGTATTATTCTTCATTCCTGTATTTTTCATAGGAAAAACTCTGATGTAACTGCCGTACTTCTTTGCGCCTACATGCATCCAACACATTCATAATTCGATAATGAATTGGGCGGTTCTAAGATTTGGATGATTGAGATATTAGACAATGGAAACTGATCTGTTATGTGCACTCAAGAAACCCCAGTTGTTGGCAATTTTTAAACGAGCAAAACATTAGCTCAAACTTTTAGACTACTAAAATTTAATGGCGTTAATCCCATTAGCTTCTTCCCTATTTCTATCTATTTTTGGCTTTAGATATTCAATCAATTATTTCATTTACTTTATTTTCTTTAGATTGTGCTGTCTTTCTGACTGTAACGCGTGCTACTCCTTTCTAACCCAGTAAGTTGCTCCAGGATTTCATAGCTCTCAAAGTTCCTGTGCATTTTCTCTGTTGTTCTTCGGTTGTGCAGATTGTCTCTACGTTATTAGGTGAGTTTTTGATGTAGTTCATCCAGATTCGCTTGGGTTTGGCAATTTCTGCCTTTTAAAATGTTCTCTGGGTTATTTCAACCCCAAATTTGGTCAATTCTTCAAATGGATATGTGAGATCTGACAAAATTAATGCTTATGTTGTTATGTGGAGCCCTTTTTGTAATTTGTTTGTACACAACAACTCTGGTTCCTCTAATTCTTCCTCTCTTTTGATTTCAACTCTTCCTATATTTAAACCAGGGTTTTTTGTGTGTGTGTGTTTTTGGATTTCTAACTTTCCGCTTTTTTAAAGTAAATGAACCAACGAAATGAATTATGCATTGGAGTTGTTCAGGGAAATGCAGATGGCGGGTGTAAAGCCTAATGAAGTTACGGTTGTCTATAATTTTATCTGCTTTTGTGCAGTTGGGAGCATTAGAGGCTCGGTAAATGGGTTCATTTGTACGTGGAGAAGTACAACATTGAAATTAATCATATAGTTGGTTCAGCTTTGGTGAATATGTATTTGACGTATGGAGATATTGATATCCCCTTTAATGTAATCTCTCTCTTCCACTCATACAGATTATGCCATAAACTTCAACAAGAAGTGCAACGTAAACATTACAAATTTCAACAAGAAGGAATGCCTGAATCATTCAACATACTCAGAATTTCTCCTTCTTGCATAAAGTCAACATTGTAATACTGTTGTTTCCGCTTAGTTACAGACAAACTTTCTGGTTAATCTTAAATTTAAGTAATTCATTGTTCGGCCCCGGCAACGCCCGGGCTACCTTTACTAATATATATATATATATATATTATTTTTCAACGAAGTGGGTTCATATGAACCCACTTGACACACTATATGACTTTAGACGTACAAAACCTCATGAATATGACTTTGTAAATCGTAATATCTATTTACCGATGATCCTGACATTTCTATCTTTTTATGAAATAGTTTAGACTTTAGTGCTCCTAATTTCTAATTTAAATTAATGATATACCTTGATTTTTTTTATGATGTAACAAATTTGCTCTTGAACAGAGTTAGTCTGCTGATAAGAAAATGGCAATTAGTTTTAGCCAAGAGTAACCTTGAAAAGCTTCTACTTTACGAAGAAAGATAGAGAATAAACACTTTAAACCAAATTCAGAACTTGTCTCTGTATGGCAGGAAGCTCTCAATTTTTTTCATACATTACTTTCTTCTAAAGGTTCGATGCTTGAATATGAGATCCTTGAGAGACCATCCCATCTCTAGTCACACAGAAAGATTATAAGAACCCTCCTTATATAGAAGAAATTCAAAAGGTAATTTTAGCAATGTCGACGAGCACTAACCCAAAAAAAGGTCTCCCCAATCCTTTAAAATCATCAGGCTTTCTAGATTCTTTTTATATAGAAAATATTGTTGAGATTTCAAAAATTTCCAATTGATCCTTATTTCTTCACTGAAGATGCGATCTCACATTCCATCAATGCTACTTTCCTTACCTTGACCTCTATTTAAATCTAAAAAAAATATTCTCATCTTTTAGAGAAAATATAAAATAAATTGATAGAAGATGAACTCATTGTTATCTAGTGGATTTAAGTGGTAAAAGTATACCACCAAATCAAATACTTATTTAAGTTCAATACTTTTAACTTTTGTGTGTCAGCTAGAATGACACGGAGAATATTATTGGACACATAAAATAGAAGTCGAACCATTTCGTTAAAAAACAATTTGCAATTAAACAATCACATTTAATATAATAAATTTACTTGCGTCTTTTAACAAACATATGTAACAAACATATGTAATTTCCCTATAGGTTTTTCTTAATTAGACACCTTAGATTCTTTGACCATCTTAATTAAGCACATAAATTTATTTGTTAACAATATTAATCAGTTTTATTTATTTTTGGATCACCATAAGGTAATAAATTGTTATGTTACACGTTTCATTCAAGGAAAGCATATTATATAGGAAAGTTTAAGGTAAAATTGGAAAACAAATTGTATAATTGATAACCCTCAAAATCTGCCTTCTTTTTTCAATTGAACATTGAACAACATAAAAGTTAAATATATTCTACAAACGTTGATGTGGAACCCTCAAATATTCAACACTTACAATTATCTATTTTTACCTATTTATTTTTTGACTTTTAAAATTTATTTTATGCTTTTAAGTTTATACTTTAAAAAATGAAAGTGTTTAAATGCATTACTCAGTTAATAACATTTAAGTAAATAGAAGATGAAAAGGTTAAAAAAAAATTGTTTTCCATAAGTGTTTATATTTAGCCTATAAAATAGAAAAATTTGATCATCCATAAGCAACAACCATAGACTCCTCTGCCTTTTCTTCTTCTTCACATCAATCAATTTTCGTTTTTATAAATGAAAGGTCATGCATGCCACAAGTGTACGTACCTCTGCAAAATAAAGACTTTTTGAGAAAATGTTGCACTTGTTATAAATCTATTGTGTTATGTGGATGATCCATTAGAGTTATCCAACAATTAATTGAATTCATGTATTAGTGTTTCAAATGTGATAAGATTCCAAGGTGATATGAACCTTGATGATAACTACGTATAATTCCAAGGTGATCTTTGACTATGATATCTCAAAACTATAAATAGAGATATCATTCACCATTGTATGAAACACTTGAATAAGAAGAAAGTTTTCTCCTACATCTACTTCTCTTATCTTCTTTCTTTTATACTTATATTATTCTGAGCTTAGATTTTATAACACGTTTTCAGCACGAGTATGCTCTAAAGGTTGTAGCACTTCGCAAAAGTGTTATAGTTGAAAAACTTGTGAGCAGGAACATGTTTTATTTATTTTTTCTTGTTACATATTTATATTTTCAAAAGTTCCTCTTATACTAATAATTTATTTTAGTATATATGTATGATATGAAAACGTAGAACATATTGGTTCGTTTTACTTTAATAATTTTATTATAGTATATATGTATTATATGAAAACGTAGAACATATTGATTTGTTTCAGAAAAGAATTGAAGGATAAAAAAGTAATTTTTCATGTTGATTTTCTAAATGTTAATTATGAAGAACTTATTAATATTTATAATTGCTAAAGGTGAGAAAACTCTCAACCTTATTTTGACTAAATTTGCTTCTACAATTCTTGATTTCATTTAAAGTCTCATGGTTGAGTTCTATTAGTATTGACTTATATGACATTGATTGAAGGGTAAGACGATGGATTCAAGTCCCTTCGCACCAAAAGGGTAAGACATCTGGTTAAAGTCCGAATGAACATAATAAAAAATATTCGAGGATAAGCTGATACATTCAAATTCTATCGCACCAAGGGTGTAAGACATCAATTTGAATTTTGATGCACCACGATGATAAGGATTGGGTTCAAGTTCCATAGAATTTGGTCTAACACGGCTTATATGGGTAAGACATTGAGTTTGAGTCAATGCACCATAGTAATGATAAAATGATGACTAAGAAAAAATAATATATCTTTGATGAAATGAAATTCGTCTCATTAAATTTGCTCCATTCCCTAAAGTGAATGTCGTAGCAGTATATGATAATAATTTTGAAATTCGCCCAATTGCTCCATTCTATCATATGAATGTGGTAGCAGTAAATAATAAGTCTGAAAGATGACAAGTGATTGAATGTATGAAAAAAGGGCATGAAGGGACGAGATTATAATAGTCATAATTGTGGCAATTATAAAAGGAAGAATACTATGGGTTCTTCATATAGTCCTTCAAAATGTGAAGGCAATTTTTATTATCAAAATGGTATGAAAGGTCATTAGACTTGTGAATGTTGTCAACCCAATAATTTGACAAGTTTATAAATCCTCTATCATGAGACAAGAAGATAAAGTGATGGTACACTTGATCTTTCAAAGTGATGTTAAGGTATGTCATGGAAATATGATGAATTTTAAAACCATGACAATGTACTTATAATGCAAATTTATGAAGTACATATAAATGATTAGTCCATTCCTTGAAGAGAATGTAGCTTGTGATGAGTATCGTGAATGTTCGACCATTCTATAAGAGAATAAGTCAAGATGTGATAAAATCATTATGGGCTGATTTATGCCACAACTCACCTCTATGGGAGGTATAAAAAAATGATATATGTCAAAACTCACTTCTACGGGAGGTTTGAGAGGAAATAAATTTTATTTGACAGAAATGGCTAATCGTATTGTACGTTTATACGTCACTATGGTATGTTTATTGTGAACTACCGAAAGGGCAAAAGAAAGAAATAGTTCTTGCCTATAAGGGTTGTGGTCATTATAGTGTGGCAATACAAATTTGTCATTGGTTATGTATCTATGGTACAACAAAAGTAAAGCAAGAAACATGTCTTGCTCGTAATGATTTTGACCATGACAATAGTAATATAATTTCCTCCTTGAAGGATATGCTCACCATAGGGATTGTGTCATGCAATATGTGATAGAACACAAATTAATGGAAAGCTCTAATGAGTTGTAATATTGTCAGAGAAATAATATTGGGGTATGGTTATAGGAAGTCTCAACATAAACTTTTTAAGTTTCGGATGAATTGAAAAGAAATATTAAGACTATAAATTATGAAAAGATTCATTACTTCATATTACTACAACCGAAGAGGGTTATAAGTGTGTAAAATATTACCCCACTTTTCCTCTTGTTTGTTGTAGACAAACATGAACATGCTGATGAAGTCACATGTAAAAGTAAATTATACATGTATTGAAATAAATATCAGTTGACATGACCAGTTGACCATCATGGTTTGGATGTGATGCAAATATAATTGAGAATTTATGTGGCTTATATGATGAAGAAATAAAAGACTCTTCAAGAATTCTCTTGTGTTGCTTATTTTCATTGTACCAGCTAAGGTTGGGATTGTAATCCCCTGAAGTTTTTGGAACATATAAAAAGGTGAATATGGGCCCATACACCTGCCATGTGATCATGTGCAACTATATGATTGATGCATCTATGCGATGATCACATGTGCTTTGTTGTCAACTTACAAATTGGTTTTTGTAAGGTTGTTTGCTCGAATTGTTACAATTAAGAGCACAATTCCAAACTATGAAATTATATTGATAATGCTGGTTGATTTAGCAGATTTTGTATGCCTCCAATTATAGCTAAATCATGGTTATGAGAACAAAACTCTCAAATAAGATTTGGTATGAAATAATTTTATTTAACATGTAGCAACACATGTATGCATCAAACCAACAAGGTTTCCCCATTAAAATTGGTTCAGGGTCAGGAACCATATAATTTTCATCTAAAATGTTGAATGTGCGGTTATGATTTTAATTGCTCCACCACACACAAAGATGAACTTTCAAATAAGGTTGGAATGAATGTTAGATTTTCCAACATTATGGGGAGAGATGATTGACAACTGAAAATTATGTGTGAGGTTAATTATGAATTATCTAGATCCTCGTTAAATAAATATGTGAACTTAAAGTTCAAGGGATAATTCAGTTGCATAATGTTGCAAATCAGTTGCCAGATGAATGTACTGACCCTATGATATAATTCAGCTGCAAATGCTCCAATGTGAAGTCCTTGAAGGACAGAGTCTATGATACGCCGGAACGTAATAGACCAATCGATTCCAAATATAAAATTCCTTGAAGAAGTAAGGAAGAAATGATCAATATGGTCATGATAATGAGGCAAGTGCTATAAAGGAGCACATTGACATAACATTTCATAAAATTTTGAAAAAG